ATATATTCAAATCAATTAGGTTTTAAAATTTTTGTTGAAACCTGATCTGAGTTTTAAGTTTATTTTTCTGAAGGTGACACTTTTCCTTACCTTTACTAACAGTTTTATAAAGCCAGGGAATTATTGTGGAATCATTTATAACAATTTCACACTCAAATGATGTATTCGCTACACCTCTGCAGTCTCTTCATCCAGAATACTCAAAATTCTTTTTCTTGTTTTGTCTCATTGCAGACTAAACCTCAGATCCCATTTTGTGTACCACTATCTTGTGTGGTTCCTTGTTCAGTAGGTTCACTGAGCGTATAAGTCCGTATACCCCATGTTGGGTCTGAAAAAGACATCACTGGGGCTGGCAAGATACTTTAATAGGTAAAAGCATTTGCTACGTAGGCCTGATGACCTGAGATCAATCCCCAGAACCTACATAAAGGTAGAAGGAGAGAACCAACTCCATACAATTGTCCTCTGATCTCCACATGTGCACATTCACACATCATACAAATACTAATTTTCAAAAAGATATCATCTAGGACTAGGCTTGATGGTGCACGCCTTTAATACCAGCACTTGAGAGGCAGAGGCAGGTGGATCTCTGTAAGATTGAGGCCAGCCTGTTCTACATAGTGAATTCTAGACCAACTGGGGCTTCAGGGAGACCCTGTCTCAAAAAGAGAAAAAAGACATCTCCATATATCACCTTTTTCCTCCTTCAAACGAATTTAAGTCTGAAGATTCTTACAGCTAACTTTGAATATACCATCACTTCATAGAGCCCAGTCAGTAAACACAGCCTGCAAAGGAAACAGATCTACACTCTACTGTCTTTGGCTAACATGTATGTATAAGCATGCACTCATGAGACTTGTCATGTGTAAATGATTTTTCATAGACACATTATCTTCCTTTTGGCTGAAGTGAGGATTTGGCTGTATAGGTTCTTGAGACTTCAGTTGTTTAAAGACTGCAGTGTATTCTCCCAGGATTAGGTAAAGCCAGGGAAATTCCTGCAGTTTTGGTTTCCCTTGTGGTGCTGCATGTAGGTGGTCTTTCTCATGTTCCTGTTTTCCTCTGAACCACGTCCTCATGTCAGCAACAGTCCCACTGTCTGCTTTTCTGTCTCACAGGTGGAGACCCCTCTTCAGGTAAGCCTTTTACCCTGGGAATTCTTACAGTAGCACTGGCAATATAGAACAGTTTCCTGTCCTGTATGAAAAAGCCTCCAAGCTTCCTGTGCAGTAGCTAAGGGAATGTGGATGGTAGGAGAGGCGTCTGCTCCCGCAGGCACCTTGCACGGGGGACTATTTTTCTTATATGATATAAATGAAATCTTCACTCTGCCCACTTTTCCACCTACGCATGTACTGAGCGTCTCCAAGGAGACGAGGAAACCCAGAGTCCAGCGATGGTGGATCCTCCACCAGACAGCAGGCTGGAGTCTCAGGCAACTCTCCCAGGCGTCTGGCCTTCCAGCTGCCCCTCTCAGACGGCCTCCTTTCCGGGCAGGCTTTCTGAAATGTGTCTCTCCCTTTCCAGGCGAAGGAGCCAGGGTGCTGCTTCCGACACCTTGGAGTGAGGTCGGTAGCAGGAGCCCCACCTGGGAGAGGAGGGCAGATGCAGTCAGGTGGTAGGAGAGGCAGGCCCCACTTCTCCAGCCCTCATCACTTCAGTGCTTCTGTTTGTTTGCCCTTCTTTGTACCCCTTAGACACAGAGGCACTACTCAATCAGACCAAGTGTCTTAAAAATATGCCTTATATGGCGGGTGTGGTGGCACACGCCTGTAATCCCAGCACTTGGGAGGCAGAGGCAGGCGGATCTTTGTGAGTTTGAGGCCAGCCTGGTCTACATAGTGAGTTCCAGGACAGCTGGGGCTACAGGGAGACCCTGTCTCAAAAAGACCCCCTCCCAAAAAAATGCCTTATAGAAATACAGTTAGTTGCTCCTTGCCCTCCTAGGTCGATTAGTTGCCAGGGACTATGAGCATCTCGCAAAATGTCCTGTAATGGTGGTGGGTCATCTGACCTCTTGATCAAGGAAGCCAAGGAGACCCCACCAGATGGACTTGAACTAGTGTCCAGTCTATAAAGAGGAGGGTCAACACGGAGGAATCATTTCCTCCATGCTTCCAAGAGAAGCCAACAATGGTCGAGCAGGAC